GCAGGAATGTCAAGAATCCCAGCATGCCATTAATGACCTAGCAAAGTAGCAAAAAGCTATTTACGCTTCTGACAGAAGCTGCATGCAGGTGCTGAGTGTTCACCAAATGAGATAAAAGATGGTACAAGAGTCTAAGAGCCCACTCAGCCCCTTGGCTTTCAAAAACTGTTACTGCTATTAGGCCGTGATCCTACAAGTTACAACAGGCACATCAGGATTTGAGCCCTACCTGCTATTCTAAATTTAGGATCTGGGACCTTAAAAATTACTTCAAACAAAGTTTTCTTCATTCTTCTGAAGATCTGTTCACTCATTTTAAAGGCAATTTATGAGCCTTTGTATGAGCTTGAATATCAAACTAGTGCGTGGACATACATTACCTCCTATGCTGTTTTATTCACAAGGCAGCTGCCAGGAATTTTTAGAGGAAACCTTCAACAGAAAATGCTGAAACTGAAATTGCTTTGGGCTCTCATTTCTTCTGCGACTTCCAGTTTTCACTCTGTTCTTAAAACAAGATCCTAATCTCTTCAGTTCTTCAGTTCCTCCAAGTGTTAAAGCTTACTTTTCTTTTTCTTGCTAATATGGTATTTCAGCTATACCTACATCATGATAAACAATCATCCTCTCTGGAACTCAGAGCACAGTCATTTATGTGAGACCTATCACAGAGATCTGAGCTTGCCAATCACAGGATTATTCTCAAGCCATTTCCTCAGCCTGAGAAGTAAGCACTGTGCATTTTATGTAGCCTCTCCTTCCATTTGTAGGACTGGCTGTCAAGTGCATTGCTGTGACTGCTTATGCAGAGTGGGTGACATAGGAATTGAGACATTAAATTAGACAATGCTGAGTGATTGTCAGGCTCAGGTTCAACTTCCTCCCCTGTACACCTCTGGCCAGTATGGGTTTGATACACTACATGTATTTATTTTATTCTTTTAATTGCAAGAATTTTGCAATTAAACCTCAATTTTGTGCTCAAGAGACAATTGGAAATTGAAAGCTTTGTTTATCCAGCTCAGATTTAGCTGTGGTTAGTCTTTAGACTAACCACAAGTGCAGATTTCCCTTCTTCTGTACTGCTTCAGCTTTTCTTATGGGTTCTTGTAAGAGTGGTATCTGCAAAGCGAAAATGGTTTGTTTTCCACATATGTCCTAATATTAGCTTAATTCCTGTAGCTACCAATGAGAAAGCCAGTTATATATGCTATCAGAGGCACATTGTGTACGGGGACCAGTAAATTCTCTCTTAAAGTCATCTTAACTTTTAACACATACCATCAGGCGCTCTCAGCCTGTTTTCACATTACTACCAGATTCATGCCCAAGACTAACTTTATATTGTCTCTGAAATCCTGTTTAAAAGACAAATATCCACCATTCAACTTCAACACTTAAGTTCTTACTCACAAGCTGCACTACTAGAAAAATTAGTAGCGGGTTGGAAGATACAAATGTTAGATGTTTTAACTGAAAAAAAAAATGAAGGATGCTGAACTCTTCATGGGTATAAGTAATTCAAAATTATGGCCTCCTGACAATAAGCCTCCTGCTTCTTATAATCAACAACACTTAAGCAAAATTAACTTACAGGTCATCAGGACAATTGTTTGGAGATTCCAGCCTTCCTCCTGATCGTACATGGTGTAAAACTTCTGTACTGGAGAAACCTGGACATGGCTGTTGAACCAAAGTTAATGTTTCCCACACTAAGACTCCAAACGCCCCAAGAAACATGAAAAAAAAGTTACCATAGTCATCATTAACAATCTCCCTATCAACAGTTAAAATGTCTCTAACCTAAGAATAAGACTCAGAAAAATAAGGAGTAAGAAGTTTTAAATTTTTGTGAAACAATTCATATACACTTAAGCCAGCCTCTGGTATAGCCAGCCTCTGGTTCTGCATAGAACTGACAGTTTCCCACATTCACTGAGGTGCAGCTCAGAAGACACTGAATGCTCACAGCTTCCCTGGGCAACACCTTCTGATTGAGCAGGTCCTCACTTAAACAAGTGTTTACATATCCCTAGAGGTGTAGTTGGAAATGGAGAGAGACCAGCTCTCCTAAGCACCACTCACAAAGCAATCAGCACCTCATTTGGTCTGGCACAGAGCACTAAATAACTTGCTTAGATAAATGTAAGAGTGGCAGCCAAATGGATGGGCTGCAGGGGCTGAGGACTGGGACAAGGTTGGTGGGCTATAGCCCACCATGAGTATGCAGGGCTACTGAAATCTAAACCTGTGTGAATCTCAGGTTTAACGGATCTTGCTTGGGTTGTTTTTTTCCATTGCCCCTCCTGGCAGTGGGTCTCTGCTTCTTCACCATAAACTCAAACCCACCCAAATACACACTTTAAGTAACCCCATAGAGCGAAGTACTGTGACCTTCTCCTGATGATGCTGAGAAATTTGGTCTTCAAAATAAAGAAGCCACCAGAAGAGGGTGAAATGGTACAGGGAAAGTGTTTGGCTGTGGGAAGGAAATGCCAATTAACTAATGGAAAACAGAATGGAACGCAGGCAATCAATTCACTACCCAATCAAGCAAAAAACATATTGTGGGCCTAGTACAAAATTGTTTGATTAAGTGACACTAGTTCTTGCCAGCCAGAATCCAAAGCTAGAGCTCAAAGCACTCAGAAATATATCCATGCAGGTGCTGTCATGATGCCAAACTTTTCATTAGCTCATGAAAATATCACTTAGGAAGAAATCTGCCTTAACCCAAAATTTTGTTAGAGATGGTAATAGGCAACCTTACAATTGCTTCTGTAAACCAATATTTTCTTGCTGAGGGGTTTAGTATTACTATTCCCACAGTTGTGTGGCTGCCATAACTCACCAGACATCAGAGTGATTCGTAAAGATACCACCAATGAGGCTTTCAGGAGCCATCCATCTGACAGGTACTAGGCCTTCTTCTCTTTTCCTGTAATAATAATTTTTATAGATATCTCTAGCGAGTCCAAAATCACCAATCTTTACTACCCGGGAGGAGCTCTCATATTTCTTCTCACACACAAGGCAGTTGGGAGCAGCCACGTCCCTGATTTGTAAGGCAGAAAGAAGAGCATGGAGATAGCACTGAAGAATAACTCAGGTCAGAAGAGACTCCTGGAGGTCATCTCATTCAAACCCCTCTTCAGAGAAGTGCTAACCTCAAGGTCGGATCAAGTGGCTCAGGGACTCATCCAATTAAGTTTTGCATATCTTCAAGAGATGCACACAGCCCCTCTGGACAACTGAGGTTGATCCTGCACATTGTAAACAATATTATCTAATTTCCTTTGCTGTAACTTGTGCCTATTGCTTCTCCTCTTTTCCCTGTGCACCTCTGAGAAAAGTCTGGCCCTGTGTCCTCTGTAGCTACCCAGTAAGCAGATGAAGACAGTAAATGGATCTCCCCACTTGCCCTTCTCTTTATTGCCTCGGGTGCAATGAGTCTGGGATTCAGGTCTTAGAGTAGCCCACCATTTTGTGAGAGAACTGTAGGTGATTTTTAGCAGAAAAACGTAATATTAAATTTTACTCCAGTGCTCTCACCTTACCTGTTACATTGTGCCATCTTTCCAGGCCTTTTTTCCCGTGTAAGATAATTAGTCCTGATATTGTGGGTAAACCGTGTAAGACTAAGGAAGTTAGTTCTGTACGTGTGTATAAAATGCATTTTCTCTAAATAGACACAGCCTTTGCAAATATCCAAACATATATCCAAGAGGTCAGTCACTGTCAATAAGGGACTCTGGAGCTACAAGAAACAAAGACCCAAGTTAACCATGTCTTCCAGCTTTACAAACTCACAATGACAACCTCCCTATGCAAAGATGGTATTGTTTCCTCATTTTAAGTGTATAGCATTTTTTCAAAACATGCAAAGCACAGGTGCAAAATCTCTGTATGTCAATAGAGCAAATGCTAATTACCGGCAGGGTAAACTGCCAAATCACTGCACTGCAAGGCAGGTGAACACATCTTGTTCTTTGGTTTGGGGATAAGAATATCCTAGGACCTTCAGAAGTGCTTCTTCCCCATAGCAGAAGAAATGGGACCCTGAAAATTTCCTCACACTATCAGATCAGGTTTGCTTGCTGCTGTATTAATCAGTATAATATATTATTCTAGTAGAACACTTGTACATACATTTCAGCAGAATTCAGTACTGACTGGATTTGATCTGATCATGTCAATGAACTAGACAGTTGCTATAATGCTATAAAATTACTGGGTCAAAACCTTTTGACCTGCAATCCTACCATCCATATTCTTAATCTGCACGCTAACTATGGAAAAATTGTTTCATTAAAGAGGTTTGTTCTTTATTCTTTTCTCCTCTTTCCTTCTAAAGAATTTGAGGATACAGGCACAGGGACAGTATCTTCTTATATGCCCGGACTATGCCTAGCACATTAAGGATACTGCTGCAATTCAAAGACAAAAAAACCCCCAAAACTATGATGCCTAATAGAGCAGAGACATGGCCATCATTATTTATGATCACTTTTCAAAGGACTGTTCATGGTATTCATAGAGAGAAACTCAGAAGACATGTCATGGCTGAAAACATAATTTTGGTCAGTGTTCTAATGACATTCCATCTTCTTCACAGCAACTCTGAATGCAAGGTCAGCACTCAACATTGAGGTCCCCTGGACATGAGGGAAAAGCCAGGTCAGACCTTGCAGGTACAGAAACAGCTGGATATCAGCATGACCTTTGAGGAAAGGGAAAACCAAGAAACTGTGGGCAGTTACAGGTTAAAAATATGAGTTTTATGGTCTTCACCCTACCTTCTGCTTTCTGGCTCCTCGTAAATAGCTAAGTAGATCCCCTCCTTCCATCAGCTCCAGCATAAGGTACTGAGGTTCATTTAACAGGCACATGCCAAGTAACTTCAGAATGTGGGGGTGATTGAATTTACTAAAGAGAAGGACATGACTGTAAGATCGTAAGATATGAGAAATCCAGCTGGTTGATATCTAATAAAGTGCATATAGCTGCAAGCAATGAATGAGCAGTTTGGACTCTACAATCCTGCCTCTACCGACAACATGATTTAGTAACTCACAGTGCCTGGATTTGCTCAGTCATGGGGAGAGTTCAGGGACATCCTTTCAAAACACAGGCTTACACTGTACTTTGACAGGCACGGTAATGCATGCAAGAGTATTAAAAGCACACTTCATCATATTTCCAGGAAGGAACGAAAGGTAGCCAAATGGTAATCTCATCTAGGAATAACATGAATTGCCACCTGTACGTTGAAAGTATCTATATTATTTTAATAGAGTACTTTTACTACTGTATTCACAGTAGGATTGCTGATTCAGGGAAATGCACAGAGAAAGGTAAAAGAACAAGGTGCAACATATTATTTTCACAGTCCAGAGAAGAACTATTTCTCACAGTACATTTTCAAGAGAAACAAAGCACTCATGAGGAACAGTTCCTAGGTATTGCCTGTGTGTGTCCAAAAAGACAGGGATTATCACAGAGAAATCAGGACTCTCAGATCTAGCACTTTTCAAAGAATGAAGAATATTTACTGCCTCTACCAGTGCCCATGTTTTTACAATCAATTTCTTGTGTTAAAAAAGGTTTTCCCTTTGCACTGCTCTGTGAAAGGGCTTGCGCCAGCAGTCAGAGAAACTTGACTCAGTGGGGGAAACCGGTGGTGTCCGAAGTGCTGTCAAATGCACCAGTGTAAACAAACAAATAAAACAGAGGAACATTTTCCTTTTAACCTCTTTCAATTCACATAATCTTAGGTGTGGGCAAAGACTGTTTAGCAAAAAGTGTGATTTTGAATTTGACAGTTCCCCCTGGCCCCCAGCACATACCTTGCAATTTGACATACTTCGTTCCTATCAAGAACAAAAAAGAGAGGAGGGAGCACCTGGCACTTTCCTTACAGCTCACACAGTTCTTTCTCCACTGAGCTGTCATTCCTTATTTCCCAAGTGATGGGATACACCCAAGAAATTGCTACATATGTTTGTACACAAGTGGCTCACCAATAACCAGTATAAAGTGACTTTCCGTAATACAGGCAACTCTATTTTCCCACTGTTGCATAGCAATAATAGAAAAAACAAATAGTCCTTGCTTAACTGGGACAGTATGCATAACACTACAGTCCAAATTTTAATAAACATCCAAAAAGGCAATCACAATAAAAGTTGCATTTAAATATCTATCATCAAGGTTTGTAAACAATCCAGTGCATTTCTTTTCTCCTTAGAATCATAGAATCATAGAATGGCCTGGGTTGAAAAGGACCATAGTGATCATCTAGTTTCAACCCCAACCCCGCCATATGCAGGGCCACCAATCACTAGACCAGGCTGCTCAGGGCCACCAATCACTAGACCAGGCTGCTCAGAGCCACATCGAGCCCATCATTCTTCACTTGGTTTCATTTAGGAGACCTTAGAGATGAATATAAAGAAAAATCATTAAGCCCTCCATGAAGGAACTAAATCATTCTTTTTTCACATTAAAAAAAAATGAAAGATTTAAAGCTTACAAAACATACCATTTTTTTTTATTATTGTTTAATGACTACTGGGGATATATAATATTTGAACTTTTCTACCCTCTTCATTTCTATATGTCATTGTATTGGTGTACATATGGGCCCACATCATTGTTTACATTTAAATGCAACCATTTCAAATTATATATTTTTCCAGGACTTACAGCTTTGGATTATTAGCTGTAAAAAGAAAGCAAAACTGAGGAAGCTTCAGGGACTTCAACTGTGGGTACACATAATCTCCATACTACACAGAAAAGAGACCTTAGCTGTTTTTATGACAGCTAGATAAACTGAAGATAGATTGTAGGAATTTTACACACAACACTTATTCTTTGTCATGAATTTACACTCTAATGACATGGTTCCATTTTGGTTTTCACAAGTCTCATTCAGTGTACAGTGGTGCGCAGAAAATGTTAGGCAAAAAATGAAAGGGTTTTTTTAAAATATGTAAACACAAAAAATAATGCAATGAAATCCCATTTCAAATTTAATAACACTATGTTTGCTGTACAGGATATAAAATCCTTCATTTTTCAAAAGATGCTTCTAATTTTGCACTCATTAAATAAAAATCAGAGAAGTGCAGAAGTGCATCTGAAAAACAAACCACACTCTCAGTCTTATGTCACCAGGCGAAAACTTGTTTCTGTGGAGACTCTGGAAAACCAGAATCCTAGCTGACACACAGCCCTTTCTATGTGAAATTCTCCCACTGGTAACAGATGCATTGTTTTTTTTAAGTCTACCTCAATAGAAGAGGTATGTAGCAGCCTCTAGGGGTAAGTATGCACATTTTTAAAAAGCAGTTTCCACAGTAAATTGAAACTTCAAGGCATCAGCTTGTTTTCATATGTTTATTTTGGTAAAATGGGATTAGCCAAATATTGCCCAATTGCGTTTAGCAACTAACTTAGTTTTGGGGAAGCAAAGATACAAAAATACATCAGTCCAAACCCCAATAAATCCATTATGAATATACAGAACTTGCAGTCTGTATCTTATTTTTTGCTAATCAGTTGTATAGCTTTATTTTCGTCAGATTCATCAGTAGTGATTTAATTTTTTTAGCAGAAACAAAACCCCCAAAAATGCCACAGTAATTTGTTTAGTGGAAAGTGTTGCTTTCATTCCTCTTGAAGGCCACCACCCTCACTGGGCTTCGGAGGGTGCCCAGTGGCTAAGCTGTCCCTACCTCATTAAGTGTGCCTCCTTTAAGAATTCACTCTTCTTGCGGTCTGTGGCACCCTTCTTCAAAGTCTACTCAACAGAAAGCAAATGTAATAATACCACCAACATTATCAGCGCTTAAGTAGAGTAATCAGGCATAGACATGGCCTTAAATACACATTATTTTCCAGCAATCATGACAGGGAGATAGACTCAGCTTTAAGTGAATTGCAAGCAATACTGCAAGGAAATACGCAAGTCTGTCAGCACCTGTTTCTGTGGTATGACCTCAGCCAAATCTCTCTGCCCATCCCATTCTGTTGCCAGATAAATACACAGCTACAATTACCTTGACTGCTACTTTGGATTCTCCACTTCCTTCTGCCAGGATATCTACTGCAGTCCCTTCATATACCTCTCCAAATGCTCCACTTCCTAACAATTTGTGTAAGTTCAGTTTGTCCCAAAGAAAAGCTGGCAAAGATTCAATCTCTGCTTGAGAAGGAAGAGTGCTACGAAACAGCAATACTAGTCACTTGTTAATACTCAAGAAGGTTTGAAATGTTATTAAAATTCTTCCTCAAATTAATGTGGTACTATCTGTCTCATCAGGTACATTTAAGGGGAGGTCAGGTGAAGCCTGGATGTTTTGGAAGCTATTGGAAGACACCAGGTCTTCTCCCTTCCCCATGCTCTTGTGTTTCTTGCCAACACGAGCAGACTGGGGGTAATCCAGGCCAGGATGCATGAGAGAGTGCACTGACGAAAACCAGTCCAGGGAATCCTTCTTAGATGTTTCTGTCCTGAAAATATATTTACTCGAAGGACATACCTTACAGCATAACAGGCATTGGCTAGTCCCACTGTCTCAGCTGTCCCCCTGAGTTCAGCTAATTCTTTATCCTCCTTGACAAACACTATCTGTCCAGGCAAGGCCTGTTTTCTGGATTTCCATCTTTGGTGCCATACTGGAACAGAAAGGCAGACCATCAGATATTTCACTCTGAGAGCATCCCAGCGTGTGAGCAGGCTGAAAGGCTACAGATTTTTTTGTTATTCTGTTCAACATGACCCCCAGCAGCTCATGTAAGCAAGACACTTCCACCTGGCCACCATCTTTTTCCCACAAAACAGAGACAACTGCTCCTTGAGCTGAGAAAGCAGTCAAGCATTCACTTCTGTATGTGGCAAGACCCAACCCTGAAGGATTGTTGCTGCATCCCAGGGACATGATGAAATAGTGAGAAGGCAGGACCATCACATGTGGACATCTACATCTCAGGGTAATCTCTACATCCTTTCTTCAGGGACAAAGCTTAAGAGGAAAAACAATGGACCCTTTGGTGAATAAATGCAATATCCAACTTGAGAATTATAAGGTACACGTTTTTATAAGGACACCCAGGAACATCAGAGTTCCTTCAGCATTCCTGTGTTCTCCCTGCAGGGAATCAACAGTAAGAAATGCCTCAGGATGAAGTGAATTGGTATCCTGTCCTTGATACGGAAAACATAACCAGCCATCCCTAGGGCCTCAAAGGATGTCTGCTGGCTCCTACACTGGGGATTGTTCATCATTTCCCTAAACCTGGAGGCTTATCATCTCCCACCATCTGAACTGTCTTTTACTGGGACCTGGTGAACCAAGGATATGCAAAAAACTCAGCCACATACCAAAACCAAACAGCATGACCACAGTCAAGCCCAGCACAACAACTCTGATCACAGCAACAATGGCAATGGTGGTGCCTGGGGACATAATAGTATCTGTTAAATAGAAGGGGAAAGACTGGTTAATGGCTGTGTATGCAAACCATATCAATCCTGTGGAGTTGTGCAAACCTGAGAGAACCCTTGAGCTGCCTGCTGTGTAAATGGTTTCGTCTGCACAAAGCTCTCTTGTAGGCTGTATGTAGATGTCTACATTTGGTCAGACTAATCCTCCCCCAGCTCTGGACCATTCCTGTGGTGATGACCTACTGTATACATGGAAAGAGAAAATGCCAAACTGTTTGACGACTCAAGGTGGGATTTTCAAAAACACCCAGAGAGTGTAGGTCCGATGTTCTGGCTGAAGGCAAGAAGTAGTCCTTGCCCAGTGTGGGAACTTGCCTTTATTTCAAGAATCATACCACAGTGCAGAGTGCAGGGTCACAGAGACAAACCAGTATAAACAAACAGAAGCAAATTTCAAGCCCACTGTTCCATGCAAAACAGCCTGAATGAGCACTAGCAGCTGGAGTCACCATATAAATGTCACCATTTACTACCTCTTGGACACATTACTTTACTTGTGCAGCATTATTAAAATAGCAGGTCTCCCTTCATAAATTGGTATGATTATTTTGAACTAAAAACTTAATTAACAGAGTAAGAAAGTACAGGACATACCTTCACCCAAAACCATATCCTTACTTGTGTCACTGTATTCACCAAGTCCCAGCATATCTGCAGCTGCTGCTCTGAACTGGAAAGTTCCTTCTAAGTTCTTGGCCTTCCATGTGCAAATACTGGTACAGGAGCCATTGTAAACTACCTTCCACAAGGACTTCACTTTGTTGGTGTTGTCAGACTGTTTCCTGCAATGGGCACAGCAAAATAACACAGGTATGTCATTAACGCACGCAGAGCTGTTTACTGCTTCCCTCCCAGTGCTTTGTTTCAATTCCATGGCCTTCACAATGTCCCTCTGCCGGCATGAAAGCTCAATCTGGTCGTGGGGTTTTGGCTACAGGGCAGAAAATTGTATTATGTCATTTCAGCAATGGTAGGAATCACACATCTTTAGCTTGGCATTGGAAATGAAATACTAGAACATTTTAGACATTGAAAGCTCCAGCACTCTTTCACCTGTTTCGGTGTACACCTCACAGCCAAGATTTCAAAACCTTCTTATTTAGCTTTTAGAAAAAAATAAACATTTATTTTTGTGTCCTGTTAGAGGTTTTTGCTTTCCCAGGCCCAGAGTAATTCAGTGGCTCTAGTGCATCAGGTTTCAGAAGCTAAACAGGAAGCAAGTCATTGGCAGTGAAGACACAATTCTTTAGCTAGCCAGTTTCCCATAGTATCTGCTGACTGCTGGGTATATTTCTTCCTTTCCCCATTGGACGGAGATTGATTGCTCACAATAAATTCAGAGCTGATTATTCACCGACCAAAAGAAGACGATGTATTTAAACCTGAAAGGCCATATCTGAAATATCATTTCATGTCACACAAGGCTGTAATATTTAATGTGAAATGACCTTCATGAGCATGCCAATCATTCTCCCAGCACACTTTAGTGCAGAAAAAAGGTCAAACACTTCTAAACCAGAAAGACACAAGAAAACTATATGTTCATGTCTTTGGTGTGCACATGTCCCCACCAGAGCTGCATGAAAAACAGAGGTTATTTCAAAGGACTATGCAAATATTTTCTGGAGTAGTATGCAACCAACCTAACATTTTTCAACCTGGCATAAAAGGACCATAAGGCTCAAAGTGAAATTGAGTCAAAAACATCAGCATGTGCACATTCAAATTGCAGGAGAAAAGCTTATTTCATCAAACTTAAAAAAAAAACCACTAAAAAAACAAAAAAAACCCCCAAACCTCAGTGATGCATTATGATTCCAGAGAAGAAGAAGCTGGAGCCTGGAGAACATGGCAGATGAAGCACAACCCTGACACAGGCCAGGGGACTGTACTTTCTTTACCCATCCACAGCAAGCCAGGTACAAACTGGCAGTTGCCATATCAAAATTATTGTGGTCTCATAGCATGCAGGTCAGTGCTGCTGTACACTCACTGAACTGTATGGAGGGAGCTTACAACACCAGGAAAATATGTCTGGGTGAAAACTTATATAGGTAAAGTATGCCTGGCTCCACAGTACTGTCAGTCCTTAGCTTACGTGAGCACTGAGCTAACTGAGGAAAAAGAAAAAACAGCTGAGTTTAAAAAATTGCTTTCCTCCATCACTCCTGATTTCAAACAATGTCATAGGAATATCTCAGATAATGGACCCTCCTCAGTTTTAAATAATGCATTAATTAGACCGTGCACTTACTGCATTAAACAGACCCCTTCAGAGTCATGGTCAAAAATTAAGAAGTTTCAAAGTCACTGCCCATAGCAATATACTCTAACCTGTCAATTCGGCCCTTCCAATGCCATTGAAGGAATAAGTGTGAATTGGCACCCTATAGATGCCTAATGAGTCTGACATTCATAGTCCAGGCAATCTGTATTTGATGACAGAGCACTTATCTAGTCATCCTGTGTTGGTGGGAACACCTTATAATTCTTTCTGGCAACTTTATAACACCTGTCCATGAGTTCTCTGAACACTAAGATATTTCTACATATATTTTAGCCAAAAATACATACTAAATGCTTGAAATTAGTGATTTTAAAATATCTCCAAATCTTCTTCTAATTCATCAATAGATATCCAAACATATCGCTGTATTTCAGGGTTGGTCTGGAAATGTTGCTAGTGTATGTTTTCTTCTAAGTTTTCCAGGAATTTATCGAAATGATGGCTACTTAGTTTACCTGAGAAAGAGATTCCCATGAGAAGGGGCATTTGTGTCATTGATATTCCACTCTTCCCATCAGAACCAAACTGAAAGCCTCCTCACACACAGATTTTTTTTTCTGAGCTGCTCCCTACCAGAAGACTGCCTGCACGCGTAGCTTACCTGCTTTCTAAGAGGTAGTAGGTCAGGTTGCTTCCATTGTCATCAGCCTTTTTGCACTGTACAGAGTTTTTAGTGTCTTCTTCTCCTTTTGGAACTCCTGGCTTACTGGGAACACCAGCTTTGGCCAAACAGGGGGAAGAAACAGAACCCTTAACATGTGTTTATAGAGAGAAAAGGGGCTAATGGGCAAAGAGCAAAATTTAGACATGCACTTGGGTATTCAGACATACAAAAAGACTGAGGATCTAGATCAATAAACCCCACGGAGAATTAATCTTTGGCCTTCTCTTTGTGATGGACAAATTTCAAAATATTCATTTGCATGCAGCCTTTCAGCAGTCATTATGAGTTCACATGAGGCATTTCATTTCAGTTTCCCTCACTCTTTTCCTCTGTTCCACTTGGAAGTGAACCTCATTTCTTTCCTTCTACTACTTTTGCAGATATGGTGCTATATTACTTATTTTTCAAACACACACAACTACTGGCTCTTAGTATAAGAAAATTGCCTGATAAATTTTACAAAATATTTTGTTTGGTTATCCATGTCCGTAAAAAAGTCTTAAAATCTTGTTATCCTACAATAAGTGCTTACCTGTAGTTTTAAAGCTTGTTGAAGGGGAAGTGCTTTTCACTCCTGTAACATAAACTACTGTTACTCCTACAAAGTAACTCGTTGAAGGAAGAGTTCCTGTGAGACTGCACATGTAAACAAGATCTGCTGTGCACGTAGTGCTTGCAGGAGAAAACCAGTCACATTTGTTTGCCGCTAGAAAAATAAAATATCATTCTGGTCAACTTTCTTACTCTGTTGAAAATGTGTCATAGTTCTATTCCTGGGTAGATTAACTACATTGCCACCTTTTAATATCATAGGGGAGAGATTATGCATGTGCTGTTTCAGTCACGAGACTTTGTCCTCTTAGAGACCAAGGACACAAAACTTAGGTTTCTTCTTTGTTTTCAGGAGACCTACAAGTCTTGGCAGCTGCAAAGGACAACAGATTAAGTGAGCCCTTTGCACAGCCAAAAAGGAGCCTTCCCCTTGCTTATCTCTGTGCAGCTTGTATTTCTGGATCACCGTGACGTGCCCATGAGTTCAGCTTGCCATGATGCAATTGAAAGGAGGCTATTCAGTGGAATTGTGCTACGACATTTGTTTTAGGGCAGATGGGAAATGTTTGGCGCAGGTCTAGTAAATCAAATTATCTATTAAGGAATCTAAGTGATCCAGTTTAACACATGACGTTTTCTGTGTTCAGTGGTCCAGACATTAAAACCTGAACCTTCCATCCATGCTGCTGTCACTGCAGTGCTTACTTCGACAGTCTGCACTACTGAACCCATTTTTCTCTCTGGCATTTTCTCCTAACCTCTGTCACAGGAAAATAAAATTCAGAAACTACGTTGTAGCTGATATTTAATGCTGGGAACCCCTTTCTTTTCTTTCTTGTTCAGAGCAGACATAGGAGTGGTAACTACCAGCCAGGTTGGGGGAGGGCAGTGAGGAAAGAGGGAGGCAACTCTACTGAAACAGTAGACCCGGGAGGAATTCTGGTGGGGTCATCCGGGATGTCCTTTGGCACTATGGAATATTAAATGCTGCAGCTGCACTCCCCCTTGTTCCTGGCAAACACTGTCTCCATCCTGCCCCTTCAGAGCCACTGAGACTGACATCACCATGTCCAAATTAACCACTGAGACTCTTCATATACATCCTGTCACCCTGTCCTGCTCACCAGCACAGAGTGGGTTAAATTTGCTCTAAGCTGGAGAAAAAAACTAAGGGGTATTTTTACTTTACCAGAAGCTGGTTTCATTGACATGCAGAGGAGCTCTCCATTCTAGCTCGAAACTGGTATTTCTGGGAACTGTGTTGACAGGTGCAGGTGGAGGCTCAAAAGTTTTTGCAATAACAGGGGCACTTTTGGAAAACCAATCCTCATCGGGGTGAAAAGCAAGAACCTAGCAAAGAAACAGATGAACTGTACAGTACCAGACCAGTTGGAAAGGAGGTATTAGCAACTCTGAGTGTTTGGAAGACTAGCTGTTTTCAAAAAAAAGACAATGTTCAGGCAATATAGATATAGGTGTAGAAATATTTTAAGCCTCCCAGCTGCAGAGTTACACATCTTAAGGATGGAAGTTCATGGCCTACAGTCCCCTTTCTCAGAGACAGTTCTGAGTTTCTTGTGTGATCTTTCTACCAAGACTCTTCTCTTTCTAGATTTTTCTTAAAGGCCACAAGCTCTTACACAGGTATGCAGATGTCACATCACATGCTGGGCAGTGTTTTGGAATCACAAAACCACTAAGTGAGGAGGTGCCTTAGCACACTGCCTTCCACTAAGCCACAATCAAATATGACTGATGTTTGGGTATGCATACTTACATATATACATATATGTATATAGGTATACAGGTATTCCTCATTTTACTGTCCAAATCATTAACAAAAGCACTAAATCAAGTTAAAGACAGAACAGATTCCCTCTGGCCCTCTGACTGTTCTCCCAGGCCACGGGTGAACTGTGAAAACCACTCTGTCACTGGATGTGAGACATTGACTGTCCATTCTGCAGACAACACGTTTACTTCGTTGCTTTTGAAAATGTCACTCTGGTGATAGCCCTGCTGTCCAGATACATAATTTATTGTTTTCCTTTTAGCCCTTCATCTGTAAGGGGAGGAGTTGTATGTTTTGTTCATATGAATCCACATATTGGATATTTTTATTCCTTTGTTATCCTCTAGATGCTTGTATACCAACTGTTTACCATTTTGTCCTAATATAGTCCTAATAAAACCTATATATGTCCTAATATAGTCCTAGTAAAACTGTATATGTCCTTAAAATAACTCTAAGTTCTGAAGTTACACAGAGTGGTCTATAATTTCCTTTTTTAAGCTGTGTGACTTTTTTTTACTAGTTCTATGGGGCTTCCTCTCTTACAAAACTTACAGAAGATAATTGTGAACATTCACAGACTGTTTTTAACTGCCTCCTTATGTAGTTTAAGGCCATGAGATGCTGCTCACTTAAATACATTTAAGTACATAAATATCCTTTCACCTGATCTTTCCTTCTCCTGATCTGTTGTGCTACCATTGGCTTCACAGGTCACAGGTCTCCTGTTCGTAAAAACTAAACAAACAAAAAGAAAAGCACTAGATACTGCAACCTATTCTTCCTTTTGTCTTCCTCTTCAGCATATTAACAGAGCCTTCCCAACTGCCTTTTAAGTCCTTCCTACTTTGAATTCCCTTGTTTCCTCCACCTTCTTGATTTTATCTCCACATTAAGTCACTCTTTTCTGCTCATTCTTACAGCAATGACATGTGTGCAGGCATGTAATACTGATGTTACTTCAGTATGGTGCTCCCCCTGCACTGGCTGTCCAAAAAGCCTTCCTGCCCAAGTCTGACAGCAGGGGTGGCAGGGGGGCTGATGTGTCTGCCCCTCAATTCTCACCATTCATATCCCAGCATAACAACACGAGCCACCAAAGTTTTTGTGCCATACTGACATGGGAGTCCATGTGAACTGCAGCACTTGATGGATGGATATCCCATTCTGCTGCTTCTGCCAGCTGTCCTGGGCCTGGCCTGTTATTGTATTTCCTATTTCTACAATTACTTGAAAGGAGGTTGTGACAAGGTGAGTTTTGGTCTCCTCTCCCAAGTAACAAGCAATAGAAGGAAATGACCTCAAGTTGTACCAGACGAGGTTTAGATTGGATATTGGGAAAAATTTCTTCACTGAAAGGGTTATCAAGCATTGGAACAGGCTACCTGGGGAAGTGGTTGAGTGACCATCCCTGGGGGTATTTAAACGACATGTAGTCATGGTGCTTAGGGACATGGTTTGATTGTGGACTTGGCAAAGTTAGGTTTACAGTTGGACTCGATGTTCTTAAAGGTCTTTTCCAACCTAAATGATTCTATGATTCTGTGATTCTATGATTCTATACATTTTCTATATAGATATATATCGATTTCCTGTTTCAAAATAGTAGCTGAAAAATCTAAATCTTCCTCTGTCTATGACTTGCCTGGACAGTGGAAGAAGCTACTTCTTCTATTCCCCTGACAGCATCATATTTCAATGAAATCCAAAATCTGAGGGTTTGCAACCACCCTTCAATATTCTTGTCTACAGAAATTTTTCTCAAAGGCCACTAAATAGCCTGCCCTTCTTTGCATTTTCAAGTCATTTTAGTCTTCTGCATTTGTTAAAGGATCAACATTGATATATTGTTCTTGTGAACTTTGCATGCGTATTTTATAATGTACTTCTACTTAAAATGTGACTGCTGCAATATAGAATCAGTCAACTATTAATTCAGTTATCACGTGTATCTCTGTGCATATGTCAGATACTTTTTGTTTTATTGGACTGAGAAAAAAGGGGTTTTTTGCTAAATGAAAAGTTATTTATCAAAGGAGAAGCAGCACTTGTCAAAATGGCTTGATATAATATATTAGAGGTTTCCCCTGTATGAAGGTTTCAGTTATGTTGCTTTCCTGAGAAAAGCCTTTATCTTTTGTCCATGACTCCTTTGCACTCACATAGCCCTGTTCATTGCACTTCTTCTAGTCCTTCACAAGCAAGTCACGGTTACAGGTGTCCTCCTTTGAGACTAGAGGATACCCGTCATTTGACCCCCTCTTAGCATGCTGCATCAATTATCAGGGCAATAACAGCAGGATTGCCACAGAAACTCCTATTTACTCTTGAGGTCTGTGATGTGCTCCCCAAATAGAAAAAAATCTCAGTTCTAAGGATTTAATCTGAACAACCCATTTAGGAATAAACTGTGATGCTTAATTTTCCTTAATAACAAAAGAGGGAGAGAAGTCTGCCAAGGTTTGAACTCATATTTTCAAAACACACACATAGCTTTACAGAAGAGCAGTCTAGAGATGTGCAGGTTAGTGAACAAACAGTTAAAGCTGCTTGTAATCATACCTTGAATAAATTGTTTCTTCCTGATGGAAGCCCACTGACAGACCAGGCAAGCATCCCATTGGGAAATTCACTTTTTCTCAAGGGTGTCTCTGGGACAGGACGTAATAAATTAACAGAGATTTGAAAGCAGATGGATTCTAGAGGCCCATTTGGCTTCAAAGGTTCACTCCAAGATATGTTTATAGTGGTGTCAGGCAAAACCACTGTTTTAATGGAATCAACTGCCTCTGGTACTGAAACAGAAAGAAAAATTAATCTCCTGTTAGGTACAGATCTCACTAGAGGCTTTTTTATTTGTTTGTTTTATTTTTAGAAAAGTCAAGAAATGTCACTAAGGAAAGAATAAAGGGTTATAAGTATATGAATATGATCCAGTTACAGGACTGACACTCTACACATATAAAACTCATATTCTTCTACAGTCAGTCAGCTGCAGATAAGCTCAAAATGTTTTCAGGGACTTTTTTAGTATCTCCTTGCATGGTGTTACCATGCAAGTAAACAACAAAAAAAATGCCAGCTGTTGTCCTACACCTCTACGTTTATAGTTATATCACTGAATTCCTGCTCTCTCTTAGATTCCTAACCGGGTCTCAGATTTGAGTTTAATATGATGCTTACTTGGATATACACTAAAAATGTACCATGCACTATTCCAATTGGAAAGTCTTTTCCTGAACAGAAAAGTTGAAGGAAGAAAACCCAAAACTTAGCATTGTTTGCTATCATTTACAATTTGCTCAGAAATACATGGTTTGTCTGAGCTATGTAAGCAAGAAACTGGGTTGCTGGTCTGATGCCCATGCCAGCTGGTTACTCACTATTTGTTCTGGAGAAATTAACCCTTCCTTTGAAGCTTTGAGATCACAGACTTTGAAACAGTATGTGGCGTGCCCCAGCTCTGCATTAAAAATTATTTTTTCTTATTGAACAGTCCAGATATTCTAATGACTTCTTTTTACCTATGTTACCTACATATCAGAATGATAGGTTCATAAGCTGTAATTTATATCCTAGTAGCAAGACTGCAGATTATTTAAATTAAGTGTGCAGAAGCTGGACTAGCAAAGAAGACATTTCTCCTTTCAATAGCTAAAATATATGTGGAGTAAGAGTGACACGCTGTGGCAAGAGCAATGCATTGATTTTTCAAAGTTGTCTTCCTTTTTTCCTTTCCCTCTATCTTACTATTTCTCAGAATGAACAGATTAATACAAGACCCTTTCATTTCATTACAGAATTGAGGGAAAGACAAAGGGAATTTACACAGCTTCAGAGGTGTGAAATAGTGTACACACTTCAAGAGGTTCTAGCAGCATCTGATTACAATTTAAACTAGCAGCTACATTCATGAAATTGAGAGCATACGTGCCAGGACACATATATATTCTGTTTACAGCTGGTTGGAAATTTTTCAACAAATTTTGAAAAGGTCCAAATGTTGATACAAATACATTTTAAAAATGTTCAGGGTTTTGAGGCTGGTGTGGTTTTTGGGGGGGTTTTTTGTTTGTTTTTTGGTTGTTGTGGTTTTTTTGGTTTTGGTTTTTGGGGGTTTTGGGGGGGGGGTTGTGGTATTTTTGTGGGGTTTTTTTCTAGGACTTTCTTTTGATCACATTGTTTTGTTTTGCCCCAACTAGAGAAGCCCATTCTGAGTTTCATGTTTCATTTTAACTCGAGACTGAAAAATTCCATTTCAATGGAGCAACCCAGTTACCCATTTCATATGCTACCTTTATGTTTCACTACTGAAAGGGTGTACCTTGCTGAAGAATGGCTCAGTTTACCACACAAAGAAGCAATGGTGTGAATTTTTGCCACATCCCAATAGTATTCAGTCTTATTCAATCAGTGTGTCATACACACATGTGGATTCCCATGCAAAGAATTGAAATCTACTGATCATAGGCCAGATTTTCTTATTTTTTGCTATAGACTCCTTGAGAATATGCTCATAATATTCTGAGATGAGAGCCTATTTGCTTGCTGCTGCAGATGCTAAGAGATATGACTGTTAAGAGAAAAAAAAAAAAAAAAAAAGTAGCATGGTTGGAAAACATCTTCCAAAGTGTAGCATGTCTGGATCCCCAAAGAAGAGTGGCAGTATGCCCGCACCTCTTGTTCCACTTTCATTTGAAAGATGAAAAGAAGTTAAACAGAGGTTTTCTTAAGGGGAAAAAATGTGACTGTTCCCAGAACAAAACAAAACAAACAAAAACAAAACAAAAAAAAAAAAAAAAAAAAAAAAAAAAAAAAAAAAAAAAAAAAAAAAGGAATGATCTGTGCACAAGAGGAGCCACTGGTAGCTCACAGGTGATGCTCTCCTGTGGATAATGGCGGCAAAAAGACAGGTTTATTGTTCTATGGAGGAGTCTTTGAAGAAATCACAAAGTGTATCCCCAAGAGAAGAAGAACGGGAATGAGGACCCCTGGCACGTACTTGTTGCCAGCTATTTTGGATAAAATGTTTCCTTGAGCACAGCTGATCAGTAAGGGATTTGAGACAATAATAAAAACACAGTGGTGGCTGCACTTATTTGAATTCCAGTTGCTTCAGTACCTTGTGAAGCAACAAAAAGCCAAGCAGAGGTAAAGGAAAACCTCAGGAATCCTGCTGCTGTGCCCTAGCTGCATGTCACAGTAATAACCCCATAGCTGCCCAGTCTGCACAGCTGTATGTCAGCTACAGCCAGCCCTGCTGCATCTGGGTTAAGTGAGCTAGTGCCCAAGGACCCCTCAGTTTCAGTTCCTCACCCTCTCTCAGAGAAGAATTTTTCCAACCCTGCAGGACAAGAGCTGGACAGGAAGACTAGTGAAGGCGAGGTCTATAGCATTCCTATAACACTGTGAGTTCAACAGCAAGCATCCCTAGGTACCATCTCCCTGGTCTTTCCTGAAAAACCCAAACAGGCTGCCATGTAAGCTTGGCTATAATTCTGCCTTGCTGATTTGGGGATTATGAGAGGTGTCTGATGGCTCTGCAAGTGATGAGTTTATGTGGATCAAGTCAACCTAGCTGTTGACACCAGGCACAATAAATGGAGCACAGCTGCAGAGCAGATCTGCCACAACAGAAGAACAAGCAAGTGCTATGCATACTACAGGGAACAGTTATCTCTCATCATAGTTTTCCATGTTTTCATCAGGTGAGTCCAGCAGCATCACTCAACGATGCAAAAATTGTCTGAAGGCAACAAACACAAAGGCAACTCCTCATGAAGACAAGTGTGCACGTACACACAAACACATGTAAAACAAGAAAAAGAGTTGAGCAAGGTAGTGCTTTGGGGTTGTGTTTCAATGCAACACAACGCATGCAAAGGCATAGCATGCATCTTCGGATGATCCTTTTCTTTCTGGAAGATGACAAGAGCTTCAGGGAAACTGGAACAGTAGTTGCCCTGCAGCTGCAGAGTGAAGCAAAGAGTTAGCAGAAGCATATTCCTGCCCTAATTAAGGTATTTCCAGCCAAAGAGGCATCTAGCTCAGACTAGTAGTATTCTCAAAGAATAAGGACATCTTGAACTCGGGCTGCCTATGAATCTTGCCCTTGTGGCATTTGAGGAAAGTTTCTGGGCCATGTTGACTTCAAGGACAGATGGGAAACATGCTGGCACTCACAGTGCCAGCACCTGGGTCTGCATTAGAGTGCAACATAGAGCTTAATTTCCTCACTATGACATGTCCCAAGTTTCATCAAGTATGACAAGATTAGCAGTCAGTAGTTTTGGACCCCAAGTTCTGAACCCACAAACAAAACCAGCATATTTAGTTAGGGAACTAAGGCAGCAGCAGACCTATGTTCTGCAATGGAAACTCCAGAGCAAGGTGGAGAGGATAACTATGAAGGTAAAGGGTGGAGGATGAATGCAAGAGGAGAAGACACAGTAAGAAATATGCCAGTGATCAGGAAAAACTGTAGCTTGCTATGGTCAGATGGATAATCAGTGTGAGCTGAGTGAAGTTATAAATCCCTCATAACGTAACACAGGCTACAAATCAACAGCAGAACTGTTACAGAAGTCCCTCATTTCTTGTTCTGGAAAATGTGACCTAAATAAAACATGTTTAACATGACTGAGTTCTCTAAGAGAGCACTGAAAAGATGGACAGTCCTTTGAAGTAGAACAACAGAAAGGGAAATTTGCAAAATCACACACCCAAAGCAGGCAGTGGAGGAGGTGTTAACCTAGACACATTTCTTGAGCTACATCATGAGATAATATAGCACACGTGTATTATGTGAGGTGAAAACTGGCTTTGTAAGCTAGGTATGCTACAGAAGCACAGGCCCAGCTCTCAAAAAATAAAGAACCATCTTGAATAACAAGCTATATAGAACTTAGATGCTCTTGATCACATTTTCTTTTTTCTTTTGTTTCTCATTCTTTATTTCAAAAGCAACTTTGTACTCAGGAGAAAGCCTTTAAAATAAAATACACCTTTCACTTGCACTGCATCTTGTCTCTCATGGACAGAACTATGTGCAGGTTTTCCCCAAATGTAGCCTTGGCTTTTACAGAAAGTGAGCCATGTCCCTGTTATCCTTTTCTAGGCTGCAGCTACATGCTCCCTTAGACCCTGCTAGTTCTTGTCTTTGCCCTCTTCTGTTGCATCAGCAGGTCACACCTCATCACAGAGTACAGAGGTAGCTCCGCTTAAACACAATTCTATTTGGCTGCCTTGCCATCATATCTTGACCTCTTGCCTTCACTCATTCCTCTCTCACCCATTCACTCCCATTGAAGTTTCTTGGCTTCCTTCTGCCATGATTAGTTTAATAATGTATTTATTTATTTTTAGGTAATCGCTAATCAGTCCACTCTCTGCCCTAAATGACACAGTGAACATTCAAGTTCAAAGCACTACTTCCTAACTTTCTTCTTCTAGTGTGAAAGGGACTGAGAAGGGCACATCAAAATTGTTTAAACCAACTGAAAATGTGCTATTGTCATTCAGGTCAGGAGAAGTAAAAATTAATCGTTGTTTTTTAAGCCTGGTTCACAATAAATCAAATCTGCACTACCCTAAGAAACAGTAATCATGAGAACAATGTCAAGCCAAGGGGAAAAGATCTTAATGCTGATTGAATACATAACACACATATTTAAGCATACATAACCACATATACATTCAAACACAACTTATTAAAAATGTGGTCCAAGGCAGAAACTGCAACTACTTAGCCACTTTTAACCATAGTTTGTCTTTACTCAGGAAGCCGATAAGCAAAAGCATTTAAGAATACATACATGTCTTATGAATCTTACAGATTCATCAAGTCTAGTTGCCAAAACCTTGTGAAGATCTACAGAGGTTACATTTTAAGAAAATTTCTCTGCTTCTGATTTGCAAACCAAGCTTACACACACCTTCCTTTAACTGAGATGAGAATTGTGTTCAAAAACAGAATAGACTGTGAAACAAACCTCCATATAGAGTTGTGTCAATTGTCTCTTTTCCTTATCTAAATAGAAGTTTTTCACTGCAACTTGTATGACGTAACTTGAAAATGGCTGTAGGTTGTCTATGATGGCTATAGGACCCTGAAATTCCTGTAGTTAAAAAACATAATAAATAATAAATGTGTTTTTAGAAAAGAGAGTCATATATCACACCCATCGTCTGTCAATTAGATGAGTGTTAAAAAATAATACAGTAGTGCTTTTCTATTCTAATATCTTTAGTGTTTAAAAAAAATGTTATAATGATCATATGGGTAATAGGTCACTACAGAAAACGCCAAAAAACAACCTGAGGTGTAATTAGCATGGCTACACTAGCACATTGTTCAGTGGCTGGTATTTAAATGGAAATGGCAAAGTCAAAACAATGCAAGAGAAGAAAAAATTACAAAGGCAAGTACGACTACCACAAAACACGTAAAGGCAAGCCATATGGTTGCTGGACAGTCTAAAGAGTTATTTAAACTGATTAATATCAACCACAACTGCTCTTTTGACAAGTAGAAATTGAAGATCGGTTTTGACAGGATTTTAGCAAAGGCATGTTGAAAGGTAGAGGAGTACTTGCACAAAGGAAAGCTAAGAAATCTACCACTTAAAAAATACCGAACAGAAAAGGGGAATTACTGTTGGGGATGTAGAAGTAGAAAAACTCCCTGATAGAAGGTTACAGAATGGTTTATAAAATGACTAGAAGTGATATCACATTCCCTGTTTCTATATGATGTCGTGTGCATTTTTGTTCCAAAGTAGCCATACCAATGTTTTTTGCTGTAGAGAAGACAAACGGTAGCTTGAGTTGCTGAGGTTGTTAGGCATTTGTCCGAGCAATACCAGATATGTTGGCGTAGGCTGCAATATGCTGGGACATAGCTGCTGTGGTGTGACAGATGGCAAGCTTAACGTAAAACTAGTGTTCATCATATCAAGGATAGTAGGTTTCTCAGTGTCTGGCAAACGAATCAGGCATCTTTTATCTAGGAAAGACATCAAATAACAACAACAACAACAAAAATTACTGCTGGACCAATCCAAACTTGCATGGGATGCTACCACCGTTCCCTATGAGAAAGCATAACCACAAATTATCCTCTCTGCTTTCACAAACAGAAACTAAAAGAATCCCACCTGAATGTACTTTATTTGATAACTTTCATGGACACAAAAATACCCCTCATCAAAGCAAAGTCTCAAAGTCTTTGATAAGATACAGATTTACTAAAGGCACAGATTTATGAAATAATTTAGGTTCCTCTTTAAGTACCTAAATGCCTTGGAAATCCAGATCATAGTTGCTGTGTTGTCAAGGGCAGTACACACTGATGAGTCCAAACTTGCTTGTCACAGGGAAGTCACATATGCAGGGTACCCTTCTCTAGCAATTAAGTGTTTTTTAAGTGTAACTTTTCTTCCAAACAACTTTTCATGTGTGAAGTTCATAGTAACAAGAGGGAAAGGTGAGACAAATTTTGGAAGGAGAAAAAGAGTCTGTAGGGACAAAACAATAGAAAACTACTCTCTGACAGTAAACAAAAAGTAACAAAAGAAAACCCCTCATCACTTGATGTACTTTTAAAAACAAATTAAAAATACATTAAACGGACTTGCTGCCAAGAAGAAAAAGAGTAAAGCGCATGCATGGGGAAGATGGTCCAAGGACAAACGTTTGCCCTTGGGGAGGAACATCTGACCTCACTGTCTAGATCTTTTCTCCCTAAAACAGCAGCCCCTCCATTCCTGCCAAAGTCAGGTTCATGCATACAAGACAAAGAGAATAAAAAAGTCTGTTCAACAGAAATAAAGGTAAGATTGAATCTTTGTCAATTTTACAGTTCCTTAGAGTAGTAAGACTCCCATACGAAAAGTCCCAGATGGAATAAAGAATTGAGTCATTTTCAGAGTTAAACTTTCTGTCAGGCAGTTCCATAGAAATGTATTTACCCTGACAAGAAAATCCTTCACTACATATTCAGTCCCCTTCCTCCTAACCCTGAAGAGAAATCATTCTCTCACAGAATCTGTGACAGGACAATAATTTTCACAGAGTACTTCTGATGTGTTAAAAGATCAACTGACATCACATCTCTGGATGGCAATTAAATAGGTTAGAATGAAAGGAAATTCTAACAGTACTCCTTGCTCACATCACTAAAGCAATAAAAAGCATGTCAGTCAACCCAGTTGTCTTTGCAAACATCACTTTTTTCACATATATACCATTTGCTTTCAGTACTGAGAGGGAGAAGAAAATATTTTTTTCTTGTTTTAGTATGTTCATTTACATTTATCTTAAACTTGCATGAATAATTCTGTGCATTGACCCCTCTCCCTACCCCCACCCTCCACCAAATGCTAAGGCTGTGTATTCCTCCAAATATATTTGCAGCAGTCAAAGTAAATAAGAAGAGCTCTGTGGGGATCTCTGAGTAGAACTAATCCCTTTGGACTGAAATTCAGTTCTCCCCTTTCTACACTAGCTAAGCCTGGGGCTCTTGCAGGAAACCCTGTCCCTGGGGATAGGGATTGGTACATTCTGGACCAGGGCCAAACCAGGCTCCTGCACCAACGCCAAGCCCACACAGACCTCATGGGAACAAACTCGCCCAAAGTGCTGGAAAGAGCAGCCTGGGCACTGGTCAGAGCAGCTGCAGGCAGGAGTAACTCCAATGGCTTCCCAAAACAGTATGAAATTCTTTTATTCCAAAGAAGTCCATTCCGTTAAATTGTTCTCTTTTATATTAGTCAGATTTTTGTGTAAAACTGAAGTTAAAGAATTATTTTGAATATATTCATCATGCTAGTAGATGTTCTAAACCTCTGCATTTACAAAGATAATCCCTATAGGTACCATGAAGCCTAACTTTCTATTGAAACTACTTTTTATTTCTTTCATTATCATTCTACAGTGGTTTGTTTAAAATATCAGGAGTTCTAAGTGAAGTCTGGGTCTACTATCATGTAAGCTGTAATTGCCTCTTAGGTACTTCTTTATAAAATTTTAATAAGGAGAGTTCTTATCTCTTTGCCTTTGGAAGAGCAGACTTTTTTTTCAGCTTTGCATACTTGTGAACAAAACCATAATTCTGTATCATAACAGACATCATTATCAAACTGTTGCTACAACACTTTGTGGACATGTCTGCTCTTTTTCTGTGCTTTAATGTGCACCACCTTTTCTAAACCTTCAGGTTTGACACAACTTTGAAAACAGGCATGGTTTGGTATTAACACCCTGAGCCTTTGAAACACAGGCAATATTCATCATCATGACCTTCCATGTGACCCATCACAAGACCGGTCCTTATATCCATCCCTTTTAAAATGTGTGTAGTGAATTGTTTCTCTCTTGAAGTTACTTGAATCCATAAAGCATACTTTACACAAACACACATAGCATGATCTGCCACTCAAGTACATGCTCTGAAATAAATGTTACATTTACAAAACAACCCAAATCCCCTCTGCCTGGATACCATTACACCACTGAGCTGTAGGATAAGATTTTTAGCTCATTACTTGCTCTCTTCTGAAGAAAGTTTCTTCTACTTTCTTTATTTGTTAGCCAAATTTCAGTGTATTCCTTTGTTTCAGTGCTCCAGAATATAAATTTCTTATCTACAGTCAAGCTGCCAATTTTCTTACCTGCACGAAAACGTTGTATAGTTAAGTTTCAGAATAATCCCTGAGCAGACAATTTTACAAGAGCAGATGGGTGCTTGTATCCACAGTGTGCCAATATAGGTATCTTGGTCACACCATATCTTCAAAGACCTCTCCTGGAAAAGGGATTTCTGATATTTTCCAGTAGGTCTCATGAAGCTGAGAAACTTTGCTATTTCCATTTACAAGTGTAGATTTGAAGGCTTTTTATAATCCATAATTATGAAAAATGTAATTCAAATAACAAACACCAGAAATAAAACACAAGAGTGAGAGCTGTCTATAGAAATTTCCATCATTTTTCCAAGGTGAAAACCATGGTGCTCTGCCATCTCCCAGGAACAATTAATACAGCTCCTCTGGCAATAGAACCACTTTACCAGCATTCATCCAGAATCGAGCTGAAAACTGAGCAACCAAGATTAAGTGTCATCATTACAAATAGTGCAACATAGGTAAGTTGTCATACAAGACTCTACCTGCATGAAGTACCCTCCCCACATATTGAAGTCTGCAATGCCACTTTCAGGCATAACTTAAGATGGTATTATATCTTTTCATTGAGATAAACTGTTATAGGTGCACCTAACATGAAAACCTAGGAAAACAGTGCGTTAATACTGTAAGTGAAATCCATCAACAACATTTGTGGCTGAAGCATCTCCATTTAATTTACATCTTACTAGAATACATATTTGCCCCAGTAACTATCCTCACACTGCTCTTTCTCCTAGTTTGTATCAACAGAGTACACAACGGGAAACACAGAACACATTTTGTCCATCTTGCCTATAGGCAAATTGATTTTATAAAGAAAGTATTTCATGAATGCTATTTTGCTGAAATTAATGTTGCTTCATTTAAGAGATAGCAAGAATCACAAACTACCTAGAAACATAACAGAGCACTCAGACCTTGAAAACTTGGTATTTTGGTAATTCTCCAGCAGTGGCAACCATCCACATCTGAGGCCCATATTTCATCTCTTCCTCTAATAGACAGCAGCTAGGGATTCTTGGAATCAGACAAATCAATACTCACGGGTCTTCCAGGCTCTGCATCTGCCATGTTACAAGTGCAGTAGTTCCTCCTCTGTTCTTCTACTGATAGGTATCCCAAAATGTGGTGCATGATGTTACTCAGAATATCATAATAAAACATGCAGCTGCCATAATCAAGCTCTTCCATCCAGTACAAGAGGCTATCAAATAAAATGCTCTGCTTACAGTAGAAAAACTAAAATCTAAGCAATCTTACCTAAATACAGTCCCATACACAACTACAGTCACAAACCTTCCAAACATTTAATACAGGGTAACTGCAGCAGCATACTTGCAGAGTGATTCCAGGTGTTTATAGGATATTTTTGAATGGAAGCTCACAATAAATTACTATTCTGGATAAAACAGTTACTGTAAATAATTGTTATCTGGTGCTGGCTTTCATTTGCATCACTTAAAAAGAAGAACCTGTCAGTATCATCTGAAATCTTTATTCAAACACAGACATCTTTTTGAAATTAGATATGTCCAGGCTCAACCAGCAGTATGAAAGTAGAACTACATCCAGAAATTTCTGAGTTACACAATGCAAAAGACTCATATACTATAAAAAGTCCTTTTAGGTCCTTATCAGTTGATGATTTTATGAAAATCATGTTTAAAATATGCTTTAAAAAGTTATTAGTAATATATGCTTCACCTTAAAAAAGGATATGACAACAGAGATGATACTGTTGAATTACTTTTACCCAACTGTATGTTCAATGCTTTTAGAGATTTTATCTTGCGCTCAAGATCAATAACAAATATTTGAGTTTCATTCCATGGCATTTTCAGGGCAACAAAGAGGCGTCTTGCAATCCAGTCAACTGTGATGGCTATGGTGTTGTGAAGATATGCATCTTTGAAAAACTTAAGAAAAAAATAAAAACATTACTAAAACTACTTGAGAGCAGAATTTTCCCACCTGATGCTAGGACATTTTGGAATTAGATTTGTTTCCAAAACAATTTCTACTTGGCAAGTAGAAGTCAAAATATAAAGAGATACCATGGAATGAGGATTCCAATATTTTTATAGAAATGAAAACTGTTGTTTCATAAATATCAATTGTTGTTTCCATGTTGCTTCCATATTCTTGAAATTAGAATTAAATCAAAATTAAATTAAATTTTATTTGACACAAAAAATAAACTTCTTGTATAGAATAGTTATAATATCTGTTTAAATACCTTATCATCAAAGCAGTTGTCACTAAAATCATATATGTTTAACAGGAAAACTTTACCAATGTTATACCCTGGCCTATTCTAATAGCTATTGATGATAAAAAATTGAAGTCTAAATTTTATTATATTATATATATTTTTATTGTACTGCTAGAAAGGAAAATTATCCAGCTAATCTCTTTTGTACTACATCTCATATGAACTGATAGTCATTAAGAATATTATGTCTTTCTCTTTTCCCCACTGTATTTTTCCATTAAATGTGCTCTGTTCATCATACCACTTTTTTTCTTTTTCAGATATGTAGTTTTGACTTCTTCAAAAACATTATTAACCCCAAAATAATGACAATAATGGTCACATATTTTCCTAGATTCTCTCAAGAAAGGGAATGAACAAAGGAATACCTGAAACTTTGAAGTAGTCTGTATATTCAGAAGAATAAGAGAATCTTCTACAATATAGTACAGATTGTCATCATTAGCAGTATAACAGATGTCCTTTACATTTGTCTTTGCTGAAAGTTCCCATATGGTATGATTATTGTCTATGTCAGTAAGAAACAACTTGTTGTCAGAAACAGTTATAAGAGTTGGGACAGGGAAGAGATCTGGAAGGAAAAGGGCACAGCAGAATTTACAAAAAACATTCTAGATCATAGCAGTCATTCATAAGGAAAACAAGCAGAAGATAAAAATAAATTATGGCCCTTCACAAATTATATTTGGTCATGTGTCACAGCAAATACATAAAATAATGAGATGCCTTCTTGGCATCACATGCCAACTCAACATTTTTTCAATGACGTTGTGGATGCTTACCTAAGAAATTTAAGACTAGTAAAAACAGATTTGCTTACTTGATTACCTTTAACAGCCCAACTAGAAATAGCCTATGATCCCTAGTAGATCTCTAACTCTCCTGGTTACCTTTCACAGCCCAATTAGAAATATTCTGTGACCTCTAGCAGTATGCAGATTACAGATCAAAACCTGTTCCATACTATCCTGGGGTTGCCTAGAAAAGTTAATTTAGCATAGTTTTGAGGAAAGGCTTGAAATTCCTGCAATTTAATGTAATGATAAGAAATGTGTTAATCATTTCACGTCAGAAGCTGTAACTATTTTCTCTATGGTGTCTACTGTAGGGTAGAACAAATGTCACACAAAGTGTCAGAGGCTATTTATCAGATAACCAAATTCCTGCATTGTTGATTTCAGGAGCTATTACACACAAACAATGAGATGGCATCTATGTCATCCATACCTGATGAATTCCTCTCTGCTACAGCAGACAAAGGTCCTGGAGCCACAGAGGTGAAGGCTTGCACCTGTGAGACAAGACTTTGTTATATATGTCAAGTAGGAACATAAATCACTGGATTCGAGAACCTGTAGAGTCATAGTTAATGACAAAAACAGAACCAGATCCCCTGGTTGCTCAGCTAGGAGCATATGCATGTGCTCTGTTTGACCTAAGGCTGTGCTGGTCAGTTCAAAGGCTACATTCAGGGTTGGACCATGGCTCTGGAGAGAACTTTAAGCAGTGGCCCAGAGAGTGACAATTCATGCTGCATATATCAGTTGGAGCTCAAAGGACACCAGGCAGTCTGGTCTCCTTCCCCAGGCCAGAATACTTCCTACTGTTGGTTGATGTTACAACCAACATAATGATCTCCCCCGTCAGTATCTGACCTGTTACATGCTCTCGTGTTTTTAACCTATATTTCAAGCCCACATTCTGCATGTTCCAAACCTTTTATCACAATGAAAACATGACCACTTGACAAGTTTTAATATGGAAGTTTGTTTTTATGGAAGCCATGTGAGTACTTGCATTTTTCCAGCAGTGGAAATTCTCTTGATCTGTGGCTCTGTTTTTACAGCTTGTCACCCTTCACCAGCTCAGCCAAAGCTGTGTCTAACTTCCAGCTTTTAGCAGGGGCTCTGGAAGACCTCTAGAAGACTTTATTTTGGGCCTCACCAAACATGTGTAGTATTGCAGCATTGTTTTGCACCTTATTTAGTGAACAATACAGTATGTAGAAAGGTTAAGCCAGGTATCCAAAGGCGAGTCAGTGAATCAGCAGTACCACAAGCAGAAACCAGTTCTTGCCCCAAGCCCAATGCCATCTCCTCAGCAAACATGTCAGGCTGTACTGATAACATCTACCATCTAACATGAGATAAGCTCAGTAATTTTTCATACCTGAAACCTTACAGTGAGGCTAGGAAGCACATCCCTGAGAGAAAAGAGCATCAGGATTGGTTTTATGTTGCTTGTGTTCCACTCTGTGAAAGCGTCAGCAGTGCCATTCTGACTCGATAGTAAACTCTGAGCTGCATTAATACTCCATTGTCCCTTTCAGGCCTGTCCCACCTGAACTCCACAAGGACTTTCTCTTCACTTTTATGTAGGTTATGTCGCAACACATATATTCTAGGGTTCATAGAGGCTGAAGGAACTGTATTTAAAAAAAAAAATAAAAAAAAAATAAAAAACACAGAGCGAAGTACTCCTATTAAAACATGAACTCTACTTAATTAACTTTTCTAGTTTTGAGCCTGAGTTTTACAACCCCAGTGCTGACAGAGACAGATAACAATTGGTGAGGTGTAAATTAGAGAATAATATCTGAAACTTCATGGTAATTCCTTTCTGTTTTTCATTGGTGTGTAGGTATCTGATTCTAACTTGCTTAGCAAAAAAAGAGCTGCACGAATAGAAACAAATTCACTCCTGCACTCAGACTGGGAAATATTTTTTTAGCCAAGTCCTGTAGGTAACAATGGAGTTGCAAGAATTTTGACAATATAGAGCTTACTCTATTCCCCTTCCTCGACACTTCAAAATCTACTGTAGCTCATAAGCTTTCTCAGTCTCCAGCACTCCAGTCACTGAGTACTATATTTTAGCTGACTTAACTTTGACCTGCATGAATGTAAAAATAAACATGGACGTAAAAAGTAAAAAGTGCATAACTTTTATTAAAAACTTAATAAGTGATTAATATATTAAATTCAGCCTTTGATGGTCATTGTAATAGATCTCAACTTCTCTTTCTTGCTCATAGTCTTAGGCTCATGGTGGATATATTGTCATGCACTTTCTGTTCCAAATTCTATTACTGCAGCTGTGTGCATTTATGTGTGCAGTAGATAATACCCAAAGATACTCTAGAGCATGTCCTTGCAACTCTGCCTAGAGCTGACTAGCCCTGGAAGCTGCTCATTCCTCTCCAGGGTTTCAGATACAGACCTGGTCCCAGTACCTGTTACAGGTAAGGAATGGGATTTAAAATTCTGTTACCTCCTTCAGGAGCTCGAAGAAATAGAGATGTTGTTGGTGCCTTGCCCCAGTATGTGTATGGAGTGACATTAAAATCAAAGAGTGCAAATGGTTCTAGCGAATCAACTCCATAGGTTGGCACTGTCAGATTATGGGGATAGAGGCACTGTTCACTCTCCAAAGACTGTAAGTTAAATAAAACAGAATAAAATAAAACAAAACATTATTTTCCCTCTCAGAAAGACTTTCAGTTTTCTAAAATTCCCCTCACCAAGCTGGTCAACTAATTCAAGACAGAGCTTCTATTCCTGTGAGTGATCGTTGTTTCACCAACTCCTGTGGCACTGCAGCAATGAGTAGCAATCTGCTAGCAATCTGCCCTTTGAATTTAAAGTACAGCTTGCCAACAGTGCTAAAATTAAGTGTGGATGAAGGCTAGATTTCACATTTAGTCATTTTTTAGGCAAAGACAAAGGCTCTCCCACTGTCAAAGCTCAGAGGACACTCCTGCCTCTGAGTTACTGTGAAAGGCTTTCTAACACTGAGCACCGGGAGCTCCTCACCCTGACTTCACACCTCAGCAGCTAGCCCAGAGCTACTGATAAGCCTGTGTTCCTCTCCTGCTGGCCTCAGTGGTGGAGAAATAGGACAGCCTGCTTTACATTTACAGTTTAGTTTTGCTTCTTGACCGATTTGTACATGCTGGAGAAGAAACAAACCGTATTTCTGTTTAAAAATAGATACATCAGCAAATAGATGCAGCAATATATGTAAATAATAAGGAAGGATTGCATGAATATCCTCACTTGTAGAGCTTTTGATCCCACACAGTAAAAGACACTTCCCCATTCTGCATTTGTGGAAGGACTCCAAGTGATGTGAAAACTTGAAGAATTTCCTTTAATCCTGAAGGAAGACTCTGGCACTGAATCTGGAATCACTTTTGGTGTAAAATAAAATTTTCCTCTCCGTAAAGAGAGGAAGAAATAATAGCAACTTAAAGAATATGAGCAATAGCTAGACTTTTCAAACCTGACTTAAGACTATTGAAGTACTATGGAAAATCACATAAGCTGTCATTAGATAGAAACAATGAATAACAACACCATGTATTCTTTTTAGCCATACCCATCAGCTTTTACAACTGCACATTACCCAGGTATAGCCTGATATATTTATTAATAAGTTGTTGTTGGTTCTTATCTATTGTCAAACAACTAAAGAATTTCAAGAAAGAGGAATTACAGGCTGACAGTGAATACCTTTATTGAGGGGTTTAGATAAATAAAATAGTGTACCTGGCAAAGGTTTAAGTGATGTGTGCACAAGGGTAAAGGCTGCAAACTCTGCTGGTTGTGAGAAGGGAATGCTAAGGCTCTGATGGACCTCCTGAGTTGTAATAAACTGAAGACTATTAATCCAAAACAGACGACCACTGCAGTAATCCAATGTACCCTGAGATATTTCTGAAGTACTCCACGATGCAAATGCTGTGACAATGCCATTACCACAGCTGTGAAAACACATATGAAATTATCTAACTGAAAACACACATGTAGAGAGAAGAAGATTTATATATTGTTTGATGCATCAATAAATTTCTCATCATTCAAATTCTTAATTCTCATGCAGGAAGCAGGAAAACAATTTAAAAAGTTTTCTTTAATTTCCCTACAACAGAACACTTTTCAGAATGGCATATTGCAGGAGCACCTTGATTTCATTACAAAACAATTACAAAATGGCTTAATATTCTGATGTATGGATGTAGAAAATTGAGTATATTGAAAAATCAGCTCATCTTCTCTCAGCAAGGTTAACCATTAACCATAGCAAGTCTAAAATCAGTCAGAAAATTCAGCTGATTCCACACAAAGCCAGCCTGCAACATTATGAGCACATATAAATACAGATACTGTTCAATAAATCTTAAGAGGTTTAATCTGATGCTTGCAAAAAAACCCCAACCAACCAACCCACCCAAGCTCCACCCTCACCCCCCCAAAAAAAGGCACTCTCCATAATGAAAGGAGCAAAAAATGCAGTTTAATGAGCTGCCAGTCGTCATGCTCTTGGCACTTACAGAACAAATGACTATTTTTCTCAAGGTCTTAGTATATATTCGAGCTGACCCATAAACACGTGTTTATTTTGTTCTTTTTTTCACATTTTCCATTTCAGGAATCATGAAACCACTTCATGCTCAGGATGATCAAGAGGAAAGCCTGCTAAGTGCTGATTGCTCAGGTGAGAAAGTGATGTCAGTTCAAGTCCTAAGCTCCATGCAAGATGAACAAGTTACAGCTCTGGGAACTTGGAAAGTGTCAGCTGCTGTAAATGCCAAGATGAAATAGACAATAAATGGCGATTATTTCCCAGTCTAAAAATTGATGAGAATTACCTCCATTCAGTTTAGCATCCATGTTGTGTTTCGCTCACTGCAAAACCGTGTTGACATCCATCTCAACATTCAGTTTGCCATCAGCCTGGTGTGACCCTTAGCTCTTCTTTTGTTTATTGTTAAATTAGTAACTAGTGTGCCTAGCATTGGACAAAATTTGTTTTTAAAGAGCATCACAAAAACTAGAAAGCACAGACTTTCTTACCTTTGCTACCCATGTACTTACCCTTCTTTGCAAAGAGAAACTCTGTATAGGCTTAGGCATAGACTATCTTGCACAAGCCAGTAAAGAGAACCATAGGTGAGATCCAAAGTTAAACCAACCACCTAAGAAAAAAAAAAAGTCCAAATGTCATTTGAATATGCCCTCACTTCTGAGGTACAAGTCCTTAGGCATAACTGTTATCTAGCCAGCATCATGAGTAGCTTTTTGGCAAAAATATTATTGGCAAATTAACATTACTACTATGAAAGTTTATTCTAACACAAAAAGAAGTAGCACTAGAAAATAATTAGGTCCTTGGTGGACACCTATTTATAGCAGCTGATGATTTTCTAGATAGCATTTTATGAGCATCTGTCACAGTGTTCATCCCTGGAGTATCTGAGTACTTCAGATATTATGGCAATAGTGTATCAAGTGATTAGTGGAACTACCTACCAAAATTTCCAGAACACCTCTGGTATTTTAATACTCTGTCAAAAACAGGTGACTGATATCCTGTCTGAAAGTCAGAATCACTTTTTGAAAGAAGTATTTCAGATATTTTGTCTTTGTTTTCTAGCTTTGATTTTATGCACAGAATATTTAATGTGTTGCATTTTTATGGAAAAGGCATGCAAAAAAATTTTAATTTACATGTTTGGTTAAATGGGAAATTCAAATATTTACATTTTGGTAAATCATTTATTATTAAATAAGAATCAGGGAGGGGGGAATGAAACAATCTTCCTGTTCGTTACTTCAACAATTCATATAATCTAAAGTAGGTGCAAGATTTTTTGTTTCTTTTTAATAGGATCTAATACTTAAAATAGAGCTTTCTTGCTTTTGCAGTAAACAACAGATTCAATACCATATGCAAAAATAATAGAAAGCAGACATCTAATAATCTGTTCTGTGAGTAACAAAGAATTTGCTTCCACAAATTAGTCTGCTAAATCAAGTTCAGTCTATGTCATGTCATTAGCACAGCTTACAAGTTGCTAGGGGCCTCACTGGACATGTTTTCCAGCAGCTCTCAATTTTCTCATCCAAACACAAGTTGTTGCTATTCTTTTATAAGCTTAAATTTCCCTTATGGACGTAAGTGGAGCAGACTATTTTTTAACTCTTCATTAATAAACTGCAGAAGATGATGACAGGAAAGCAAATGCCATATCACTTAGTTGTCTGTTGGTCCTTATGTAATCACATTCTTGACATATTTCTGTTGACATTGTGTGTCAGAAAAACTAAGTTTGAATGATTGCTCCTGTAGGTTTTCCTGTTAAAAATATCTTACAGTATGTATGTGCCTGAGTGCATATTTAGTCAAGCATGTTATATTTTATCCCATTTACCTATTCTCCCTCCCATGCTCAACACCAAATTACATCTTCCTGAATCTGCCTTGCTGTTTTAAACTTCTTTTTTTCTTTGCAACTACTATAATTTTCCTATAGACATGCCCATCTTCTTTCTCCTGATCTCTGTATCCCCATTAAAAAGGCAAAAAAATATTTGTACAATTAATATTCAGGGGTTAGGCAGTAATTTAACACCTTGCTCTTGCTATGCTTCAAAAATAGACAAACATTTTCCATTTCAAGAGAGGTCTTAGTCTCTCTACACAATACGTGGTTGTGATCATGCAATGTAACTCCATGTTGTAAGACTCGACATAAATTTAGCTACTTGAAATACCCCTTGACTAGAAATATTAAGAGGCCACACCTAGAGGGTCCTGGCCCCTCCTGCATACAATGCACTTTGCTAGTCCCCTGTAAATTACTTTTGTCCCAGGCATATTGTACAGTGTAAACAATTTACTAAGTGCTTTGGAAATTTTGTGCCAGACCTTAAGCTGCAATAAAGCTTAATCTGCAATAAGTAGCTCTGCCAAAATCAATCAAGCTATGCCAATACACACCAGCTAAGCTAAACAACTGATTGAAAAATAAAATAATTGTCATTAAAGGATCTAGTTCCTGCCAAAGAAATTAGACTTTCAAAGCTCTGCCTTCATATTTGTTTAGGAAACCTGTCATCTCCATAGCAGTCTCTTCTATTCCTGTCACTCAGATTTCAAGCTAAAACAAGATGCAGCTGTACACTGCTGAAGATCCTATACTGACCAGCTGAACAGGAATTCTTTATTAGAAAAATAGCTAGGAAATACCAGTAAGAACCAGTTTCCTGGTCTAGTGGAAGGTGTCCCTGCCCATGTCAGGGGGGTTGGAACTAGATGATCTTTAAGGTCCCTTCCAACCCAAACCATTCTACGATTCTATGCAGAGAACATCTTCTAACTGTTGAATAACAGCAATTAACTATTACATCTGTGTTTTAATATTGAGGTAAGAGGTACTCTTTTCAGGATAAAAGACTCCATTGTGCAAGGAAGATACATATTATTACTTGTGCAAAAATATATTTGCATCTTTACATGCTACAATAACAACCAGCTCAATAATTCCATTAAAGAATGTTGTACTGCCCTTTTTTTTCCTGATGGGTTTATTGTGGGTTTTATTTCAATGAACATCCACCTGTCAGCTATTACTGGTCACTTCTCAATCTAGACAATTTACTTGGCTTTTTTCCTGTATGCATCATGGCAGGAGGCTGAGTTCAGGAAGTCAGTGCATAGATTAGGGGCAGCATAGAAGCAGGAGAGATGTTTGTTTGTGGGAGGTGTGAATAAGTGAACAGTTGAAGGCTGGTATCACTGACATAGAGAAAGGTGCAGAAAAAAAAATGACAGGAGCAGACAAGCAGTCTTATTGCTGCCAAGGTTCTTGAAAACAAGAACAAGAAATTTAAGGTTAGCATGAGGCAATTCAGATAAACAGGTAGTGAGTCGAAAGAGAAGGGCAAGGAAGGTGACATTCACTGCTTAGAATAAACTGCAAATTGTCAGTCCTTTGCAACAGATCACCCAGAAGATATGTGATAAGTGTAAATGTGCCATTGAGCTTGGACAGCATGTATCTTCCCATGAAGACAGTCCACATCAGCCAGCTTCTGTGGAGAGGTGTGGAAAATACAGTGACCCTTTGCAGCACAGACATTTCTCTCTACATGTGACAGAAGTTTTTCAGTTCTTCTGTATTTAAGTTTACAATTATAGCAGGTACCACACTAGAACCAGCTTTCCCTCTCCTCCTCAAACGGTCACGAATGTAACAGGGAGCTGTGAGATTGACTGGCCTTTATGAATGTTAATGCCTTTCAGAGACTAAGCCAGGCCTGGGTTTTTTTAATAATCAAAGAAACACTGGCCTCTTTTCCTTTGGGAAAGGAAATTGAAATGTTCTGGGAATGATACAAAGCTAACCAAGAGATGTAGATCTCTCAAGTTTGGTAAGAGACTTTAGTAGAGACCCTGTCTTCAGGTAAAATGGGAGCACAAATTGTAAGACAGATGGAATTTTTAGAAAGACTTCTTTAGTGAGAGCTCTGTTTTAAAGAAAGATGTTGCAGCAATAATATATATAAGTTAACCTCTTCTGTGACAGCCAACCTATGCCTCACTCCAGCACTTGGGACAGAGGGTAAAACCCCACACAGGCTGTGGTTGGAAGTGGGGACCATTCAGCTCTTCTTTGAGAGAGACTCCATAAAGTAAAAGCACTGCAATAGATGGGACCGTCCCTCAGCCAGACCTGCTCAGGACACAGCCTGGAAAAAGTTCAAAGTCTCGTCAAACCTTGTGTGCTTCACCGGGTCTGCAGTCCCAATCCAGCTGACTGGGCTTTCTTACCAGGGAATTGGGTCATCCAACATTTTTCTCCCAGCTACATGAGGAGGGGAAGAGAAGGAAGAAGAAAGAAAGAGAGGGGAGTAGAGGGGAGAGGAGCAGAGGAAAGGGAATGAAGCAAACACAAGCATGGCACCAGTTGCCAGCCCCTCTCTCATCAGCACAGGCAAATGCTCTCTTTGCAGCACCTCTGCAGCCTGAAGTGCCACTCTGGTGTCCTTGGCAAGTGTCTAGCCTCAAAACTGGCCCTGTCAGGACCTGTGAGGTGGGGAACATCACAGAGGGGACAGGATGCTATGGAGCTCCATCTCTGTATTTTGATGGGAAAGCCAGAACTGACCACTATATTTAAGGCATTTGGGAAAAATAAGTACCTTTCACATATGGGAAGGAGCAGCATTATAACTATAAGGATGTCTTTAATGCCACATTTTGTTGCAAGGGTCTGACTTCAGAATTAAGGGCCAGAGTTTTGGTACAGCTGTTACATGATTTAATTCTTACCCTGTTTGTGAAATGATATAACGACACTGCAAGAAAGGCACGTTATTTTTCTGGTCATGACACGGTGATATTGACAACCATGAACACTTACTGTATTCAACAGATCTAACTGCTAAAACACACGCCCAATAAAAAAAAAAAAAAAAAAAAAAA